GCCAATTTAGGAAGAAGTGATCTTTCGTTGACATGAATAAAGTAAAAGGCCTGTATTCATAAAACAATTATAATCATCAATATATGGCAATGGGTCATATGTATTAAAATTAGGTAAATCAATGTCATCATTGCTAAAGGGTAACTGTGCCAAAGTGCATTTTTTTACACAAAAAGTGAATTTGGCACCGTTTACTATAATGTACATACATCCATCATGCTCCCACCCCTTACACATTTTACATAAGGTGCCTTTTCTGTTTTTCTGAGTACTTAGAAACAGTGGATGCACCTGTTTTGGTAGTGTTTGAGATAATAATGGCTGTATTGTCTCACATTGACCTATGTATGCATTACATATGGAGTTAAGGTTATCATTCCTAGTTACTAGACCGTCATTATCACCCTCATTTATCTGTCTGTTTTGCCTCTGCACAATAGTTTGAGGTCCTGGATTAATTTGGATATCACCACTTAAGAGCGCTACAATAAGAGCTGTGTGCCACTGTTTTTGTTTGGGTATGCGGTGTTGCCATACCTTGCGGCGATAGTGACATTTACTTTTCTGGTAGGATGGCAACTGTTGGGCTTTTACTGTCCAGGGCGCTCTTACTCCATTCACCTTTTTCAGCCACCATGACTGATTTCTTTCTTCATGGAATTGAAGGAGAAAGATAAATATAATTATGGCAGCCTGTACCCCCCTAATGCCTGCCATTTTCACTCTTCGCTCTTTTACCCATATACAATAATATTTATTTCTCTTTTCCAGTCACCTAGTACACCCTAGTATCTGCTTTAGCAATCACCACTGAATTACTAGTAAATTTTCTTCTTCAAACCCCTCTTCACTGCTCACTTTTCCCTTAACTTCACACACCCCTTTCAGTTAACCCCTTATTACACACTCCCCTTCCCGCCTCACTTCACAGTCCAGTTTCACCTATTTCATGGGACTGAAAAGTTACCTGGGTGGGCTAAATTGGAATAACCTGACTATGGGTCAGGTATGTGATCTCGGTTGCCAATATGACGTTTTTCAGAGCATAGCTCGAGCTGCCCAGACAACTTTTGCTCCGAGTAGGGAAATTAGATCTAACAAAAATGATCCCAAATGGATGAACAATAGATTAAAACATTTCATTGGTCAAAAGAGAGGCATATATAGGCGTATCAAAAGTGGGGATGGGCAGTTAAGAAATCAATATATTCAATTAAAGAGAGAAATAAAGAAAGGAATAAGAAAAGCAAAAACGGATTATGAGGCTAAGGTCGCAAGGGATTCAAAGACTAACCCAAAAAGTTTCTTTTAGGTATACAGAAGTAAGATTAGGGACAAGATTGGCCCACTTAAAAGTAACTGGTCAGATCACTGACAGCGATAAGGATATGTGTGAAATTTTCAACACTTCTCAGTTTTTACTCAGGAAGATACTAGCGAAATTCCAGAAGTAATAAATTATGTAGAACAGGATGATATACAACGCATGAGTGGGGTAACTAGTGACATGGTCCTCAGACAAATAGAGAAATTAAAACCTAACAAATCCCCAGGCCCTGACGAACTGTTTGCAAGGGTGTTAAAGGAATGTAAAGAGGAACTTTGCAAAACTTTGGCTAATCTTTTCAACATATCACTACAGACTGGCATAGTGCCAGACAAGTGGAAAATGGTAAATGTATTACCTACTTACAAAGCAGGAGACAGGTCCTTAGCTTCGACCTATAGACAATAAGCCTTACCTCCAAAGTGGGAAAATTTATGAAATTAATAATTACCGAGGCAATTCGTAGTCCCTCAAGGGAATTTTTTTTTTACGCTGGTGAGGGGCTCTTGATCCAAGGTATTGGATCTGTGCTCCAGGTCCCTGAATTGAGCCTGAATACCTTCCATTCCCTCAACAGACGCTGTATAATCCTACGGGTTTAGCGCTCCCCATGATTATAATAATAATTGAAAGGCATAAATTGATTAATGAGTCTCGGCATGGTTTCACTAAGGGGCGTTCCTGCCTTACGAATTTACTAACACTTTTCACTAAGGTATTTGAGGAGGTAGATCATGATAGTAAATATGATACTGTGTGTATGGACTTCAGTAAGGTTTTCGATTGAGTTCCACACGAGAGGCTATTGAGGAAACTTAAGGCACGAGGAATAGGAAAAAAAATTTCCTGGGAAGAGGCATGGTTGACAAATAGGCAGCAGAGAGTTTACATAAATGGGAAGAAATAAGAATGGGGGCACGTCAAAGTGGTGTTCCACAGGAGTCATTGTTGGGCCCCTTGTTGTTCACAATTTGCATAAATAACATAGATGAGGGAATAAAAAGCGACATAAGCAAATTTGATGATGACACCAAAATACCCAAATAGGCCGTCTAGTTCATTCTAATGAGGACATTTGAGCTCTCCAGGATGATTTGAACAGAATGATGCAGTGATCATAGAAGTGGCAGATGCAGTTTATTACAGACAAATGCAAAGTTCTAAATGTTGGACAAGAAAATAACCATGCCACTTGTGAACTAAATAATGCAGATCTTAATATTACAGATTGCTAAAAGGATTTAGGAGTTCTGGTTAGCAGTAATCTGAAACCAAGCCAACAGTGCATGAGTGTTCACAATAAAAGCGAACAGAATCCTTGGCTTCATATCAAGAAGTATAAATAATAGAAGTCCTCAGGTTGTTCTTCAACTCTATATATCCTTGGTTAGGCCTCATTTAGATAATGTTGCACATTTCTGGTCACCATATTACAGAATGGATATAAATGCTCTGGAAAACGTTCAGAGGAGGATGACAAGTTGATCTCGTGTATCAGAAATCTTTCCTATGAGGATAGACTGAGGGCCATAAATCTGCACTTTCTAGATAGGCGAAGAATTAGGGGGGATATGACTGAGGTGTATAAATGGAAAACAGGAATAAATAAAGTTGATGTAAATAGAGTTCTAAAAATATTTAGCCAAGATAGGACTTGCAGCAATGGTTTCAGGCTGGAAAAATTCAGATTCAGGAAGGATATAGGAAAGCACTGGTTTGGTAATAGAGTTGTGGATGAGTGGAACAAACTCCCGAGTACCGTCATAGAAGCTAAAATATTCTGTAGTTTTAAAAATAGGTTAGATAAATACATGAGTAGGTGTTGGTGGGTGCGAGTTGGACCTGACTAGCTTGTGACCTGGACATGACTTGGTTGGGTCACTGGCAAAAGCCAGTAGGCGACTTGAACCTGCCTTGCATGGGGCTGTAGGCCTGCTGCACTGTTCCTTCTTCCTTATGTTCTTAAGTCATTCTGTTTTACTCCAGCCCCTCTACAAGTCCGAGCCACCTCAACAACACCTCCTCAGCCCTCTGGATAATAGTTTTAGTAATCCTGCACCGCCTCCAAGTTTCCAAACTACAAATTCTCTTCATTATATTCACACCACACATTTCCCTCAGACATTATATCTCCACTGCCTCCAGCCTTCTCCTTCTTGCATCATTCACCACCCATGCTTCAAACGCTCTTATGAGCGTTGGTATAACTATACTCTCACACATTACCCTCTTTGCTTCCTTGGACAAAGTTCTTTGTCTCCACAGACTCTTAAGTGCACCACTTATCTTTTTCACTTGATCAGTTCTATGATTCACCTCATCTTTCATAGACCCATCTGCTGACACGTCCACTCCTAAATATCTGAATACATTCACCTCCTCCATACTCCCTCCCTCCAATCTGATATCCAGTCTTTCGTTACTTTTTTTTTTTTTTGCTATCCTCATCACCTTACTCTTTCCTATATTCACTTTTAATTTTCTTCTTTTACATACCATACCAAACTCATTCACCAACCTCTGCAACTTCTCTTCAGAATCTCCCAAAAGTACAGTGTCATCAGCAAAGAGCAACTGTGACAACTCCCACTTTGTCTTTCAACTTCACACCTCTCGCCAACACCCGAGCATTCACTTCTCTTACAACCCCATCTATAAATATATTGAACAACCATAGTGACATCACACATCCTTGTCTACGGCCTACTTTTACTGGGAAATAATCTTTCTCTCTCTCTCTCTCTCTCTCTCTGTCTCTCTCTCTCTCTCTCTCTCTCTCTCTCTCTCTCTCTTTCATTCTCTCTCTCCTAAATATTCTAACCTGAGCCTCACTATCCTCGTAGAAACTCTTCAATGCTTTCAGTAACCTACTTCCTATTCCATACATTTGCAACATCTGCCACATTGCCCCTCCCCCTCCCTATCTACCCTGTCATACGCCTTTTCCAAATCCATAAATGCAACAAAAAACTTTTCACTCTAATCTAAACACTGTTCACCTATACGTTTCACTGTAAACACTTGGTCTACACACCTCCTACATATCACTTGAAAATGATAATTGTTCCCTGTATTCTGAACAAAGGAGTCGAAAATTTCAAACTGTTTCTAAGTTTTCTGTGGAACAAAATGGAGAAAAATGGAGGAAGGAAAAAAAGCAAAAGTGGGGACAAAATCAGGCACTTTCTTAAAGGCCCTTCGGGGATAATTAATGTTCTATGCATATTTTTTTAGCATAAATTAGTGTTAGAAAGAGCCCGAGAGAATTTCATCCCAGTGCTGTGGAACAATGTATTTATAATCACTCATCGACACCATGCCTAACCCTTCTAGGGTAGGGTAGGTGCCTGAGCCCGAGCCTTTAGCTCATAAGACTATCATTCCCATTTGCCCCCTTGGGGCGGGGATGGCAGACCAGAGAGGCCTAGCTTGTGGCTAGGCATGGGGACAGTTGGTCCCAAAGATGGTGAGGTACTTGTGCCTCCTACCATGGGAGACTTAGGTCTCAGACACTTCCTAAAGAGGGAGCCAAGGCCGGGCCACCACTTGGAAAAGGCCCGGGCCGGGAGAATACCGGCTAATATTTAATAAATAAATAAATTATAATAACTCAAATATGAGTGCAAAAAAAACCGATTGTATAATTCTATAAGCTGGAAAATTAAATAAAAAATAATTTTTCTCATAATCAGTCATTATTCAGCAATCTTGTTGTAGCCTGACTAACATGATGCAAGGTTGTGATACAAGTTTTATGTACTTTTTTTAGGCTTGATTTAAGAGTTTTGGCCAGCCGAACCAGGCATCAGTATCTTTGATACCAATAAAGTTGTAACCTTGCTTCTTCATGAACTTGATGAGAGCCTTAGATCCCTCCGGAATACGGTTGATTTTTACACACATGAGACGAAACTTGATCTTGTCCCAAGGAAGTGTTCGCAGTACCTGTCACCAGAAAAAGAATTATTGAATACATTCTCGTTAAACATTTTGAATTAATTCTTCTTTCTTCTGCTCTTATATGATTATAAATTTGTCTTTGTGGTGAATATGAAATAAATTTTACGTGAATCTACAGCAATGGTTAAAAAAAAAAAAAGAAATTCAGACAACAAAAATAAGTAACAACTTTCATCTCTTTTCAAAATATAGTTCAACCAAAATGCACACTCTCTCTCTCTCTCTCTCTCTCTCTCTCTCTCTCTCTCTCTCTCTCTCTCTCTCTCTCTCTCTCTCTCTCTCTCTCTCTCTCTCTCTCTCTCTCTCTCTCTCTCTCTCTCTCTATCACACACACACACACACACACACACAGGGTACAGGGACAGCAGACAGAGAGGGGACTGAAGGAAGTGAAGGAGACAGGTCCCCTACAGAGGCGCTATCAGGCCATTGAGAGATCCAGGAAGTGTAAAGGAAGCAGTAATGGAAATCCTTAAAATGGATCCTGAGACATGAACGGAAATGCAATGGGAGGATGAATGGAAGAAGTCAGTCTTTGTTAATGGGCTTCGGGAGGCTGAAGGGACAGCATACAAAGACGAAAGAGGGTGGAAAAAAAGAGATTGAAAATATAATGAAAGAGATAGGAGAGGGATACAAGACCCAACTGACAAACGTTCAAAGAATATGGGGGATAGTCAAGGGAAAGAAACCGTCCAGTCAAATTGATTTTAAATCTTAATCTTAATCTATGATGAGTTTCGAGAGTCGTTTTACTCATGAAGCCCGGGCCTGGGCCAGGCTCGTCTGGTGCTAGCCTAATCAACCAGGCTGTTGCTGCTAGAGGCCCACTGCCCCACATATTCATCACAGCCTGGTTGATCTGGCACCTGGTGAAGATACTTGTCCAGTTTCCTCTTCAAGACTTCTACACTTGTTCCAGCAGTGTTTCTGATATTTTCTGATAAGATGTTGAATAATCTGGGGCCACGAATGTTGATACAGTGTTCACTTATTGTGGCCACTGGGTTTATTTTGCACTTCCTCCCATATATCTTGCTCCAGCATGTTGTTATGGCAGTGTGCAGATTTAGGACCAGGCCCTCGAGTACTTTCCGGGAATGTATTATCCTGTATCTCTCTCCTCTGTTCCAATGAGCTTTACTGGCTCTCTGTGAGTTGTAAACGATCTCTGTATTTGTTCCAACTCTGATATGTCTCCAGCGCTGAACGGGGCCGTCATCACTGAAAAATATTCCAAATAAGGGAGCACAAGCAATTTGAGAAGTATCACCACTTGCATTATTTCCTTTGTTTTGAAAGTTTTCAATACCCACCCTGTCATCCTCCTGGCTGTCGTGATCTTTATCTTATTGTGTTCTCTGAAAGAAACGTCAGCTGACATAATTATTCCCAAGTTTTTTACGTGTTCCTTTGGTTCCATTTGGTGACCCTCTTGAGTTTTGTATAGTGTTCCTTTTGAGTTCATCATTCTTTCCATGCCTAAGCAGCTGGAACTTACCACCACTGAACGTCATGTTGTTCTCCACTGCCCACTGGAAAACACTGCTATATCCTCCTGTAATTTTTCTGTGTCTTCTACCGAAGTGACTTTCATGCTTATTTTAGTGTCATCTGCAAATAATGATACAAAGTTGTGACGGGTGTTTGTATCTATATCTTCTGTGAGGATGAGAAACAAGAGAGGTGCCAGAACAGTGCCCTGGTGCTGGATTATACTCTGTTTACTTCTACTTTTTCGTGCTCTGTCTGTTAGGAATCCGAAAATCCATCTTCCTACCTTCCCTGTAATGCCTATGGCCCTCATTTTGTGTGAAATTACCCCATGATCACATTTGTCAAATGCCTTTGCAATGTATGAGGTTTATGGCATCTGCATTTTGGTTGTCTTCCAAAGCTTCCGTAATTCTGTCATAGTAGTTTAGCAGCTGTGACAAACATGATCGTCCTGCTCGAAATGCTGGTTTGGGCTATGCAGATAGTGCTGTTCCATGAGATTTGAGAACTGCCGTCTCATCACTCTGTCGAGTATTTTTATGATGTGAGAGGTTGGTGTTACTGGTTTAATTTTTAGCTATTGCTCTACTACCTCCTTTGTGCAAAGGAGCTATGCTTGCACTCTTTAAAGTGTATGGTATTTCACCTAGGTCAAGACTCTTTCTCCAGAGAATACTGAGGGCTCTTGCTAGTGGTAATTGGCACTCTTTTATATATATGTCATTCCATGAATCTGGTCCAGGTGCTGAGTAAGTGGCCATGATTTCAATTTCTTTTTCGAAATCTATGGGCTTGGTACTAATGTCAGTCTGTGCGGCCATCCGCTGAAGTGAAAAACGTTTCCGTATTTGCTACGGTGTCCCGTAGCTCGATCACTAGTGCACTCAGCTCACACACTGAGATCCGGGGTTCGAATTAGGGACATGTTTCCATACGACACTTGATGTCTCTTATTTTCAACTTTAATACATAGAATTTCTATTGTATCATCCGTATAATTCAGCAGTTCGGTGCAACAGAAAGTATCTTTCCTACTCCTCCCAGTGACTTATTAATTCTGTCACATCAATACGTGTTATAGTTTTCTATCTATATCTCTCCATGTAACACATCCCTTGTATATGCTTCTGTAAATGTTCCAGACATGACATTCGCTTCTGAAAGGAGCCCACTGACTTAATTAACTTTGTCGTTTTTATTTGATTTCAAACCCTGAATATTTACAAGGAGGAAGCAGGATTTACCATTTGGGATGTTTTGATTTACTGTGTGTTTAGTTAGAACCACTGATGATGTACTACCTGGTATAGCCCCTGGTATAATACCTCTGGTTTCTCCAGTGTTGAGTGTGCATTTGACTGTATATTCGACCCTGATGGGCGGATGCCTGGCTTGGTATGTCGCACTATTGAGCCCCTCTGCAGCATTTTCCCATTTTGTCTCTTTCTTTGGTCTGATCGTTTCTCTTTATGTCTAACAAAAAAAAAAGCTGTTTATTTTACATTTCCTTGTTTTCTCTGTAGCCGCAGCAGAAAAAGTGCAAAACAGGATCCTTCAGTAGAAATCATGTCAGGTGCTCATCATATTACCAGAGGGTGTACCTCGACCACAACAAAACACGAGAAGAATGAAACAGAGAATACAAAGACATAAGGAGCAAGAAAGAGAGTCAAGGACAGAGATGAGCACAAGAATCCAAACTCAGGAGAACCAGCAAACACAACCTCCCTCAAAACCACCCACAGAACACCCTCCACCCATTCATCTTCACTGCAACCAAACAAATTAACCCAAAATAACCAACGCTTCAAATCCACAGCCACTCTCCAACACAAACTCCACCTTCGCATTAGCCTCCCACAATATTCTGCCAGGTCTCCCGCTTCCCCAGCCCTCACAAACCCCCAGAACACATTATTGGAAAGAACCCTTAAGGTGTAGTACACCAACACAGACGGAATAGCAAATAAATGTGATGAGCGGCACAAAAGACTCATGGAGGCATCCCCCAGACATCATAGCGCTCACAACAAGCTTACAGTGATGATAAAAGATGCAATCTTTCCATCCTGGTAGCAGATCCTGAAGAAAGATTGAGGGAACAGAGGGGGAGAAGTGGCACTGTTTATCAAAAACAAATGGGGATTCGAGGAGATAGAAGGAATGGACAGAAGGGTAGCAAGGGACTACACAGTAAGAACACTTCAGACTAAAACAAGAGTATCATGAGAGCAACAGAGAAATGGTGAACACTATGGCTGAGGTGGCCAGAAGGGCTTATATGGATAGGGCAAAGTTACTAGTTTTGGGAGATTTGAATAACAAGGAGACAGACTGGGAAAACCAATAGCCCCTTGGGGAAAGATAAGATGATGGAGGTGGTGGTGGGAAACCTCAAGCAACAAGTTATGGACACTACCAGAGAGAGAGAGAGAGAGGAGAAGATGAATCAGCAACGTTGGGCCTTATATTCACCTAGAGTAGTTCAGACATTGTGGACATAAAATATAAAAAGCCCCATGGAACTAGTGATTACGTAGTCCCGAGCTTCGAATACAGTGAAGAGTCAAAAGTGGAGAGCGAAGCAGCACGAGTAGGATGGGAGAAGCCAAACTACAGAATAGAAGACTACACAGGCATGAGGAATTTCCTGCATAAGGCACAGTGGGAAAAAGAACTGGTGAGAAAACAGTAAATGAAATGAATGAATACATGACTACAAAATGTAAGGAAGCAGAGGAAAGGTTCATACCCAAGGGCAACAGAAATAGAGGGAAGAACGGAAGGAGCCCTAGGTTCACCTAAAATTGTAGAGATGTCAAAACTAAGTGTGCTAGAGAATGGAAAAAGTATAGAAGAGAAAGGACCAAGGAAAATAAGGAGCTGAGCCGAAAGGACAGACAAGAATATGAATGGATAAGGAGGGAAGTTCAGTGGCAGAATGAGAATGACATAACATCGAAAGCCAAATCTGACCTAAATCTGTTACACAGCCACATCAGGAGGAAAACAACAGTCAATCACCAGGAAATCTGGCTGAGGGAAGGTGAGGAACTCACACAAAATGACCAGGAAATATAAGAGAGCTTTACGGAGGTAATCTCGGTGCAGACAGAAAGACTTGAAGCAAACTGTAGAGTACACCAAAATGTACTGGACACACTACACACAACCAAGGAGCAGGTGAAGAAAGTGGTATGTGAACTAGTTGCCTCGAAGGTGGTGGGCCCAGATAATACCTCTCCGTGGGCCCTAAGAGGGAATAGGGTCATTGTGTGCCACTTTCAACAATTTTCAATGCATGTATCGTAACTGGGTGGCTGCCTATGGTGTGAATGACAGCAAACGTAGTGCTGATTTTTAAGAAAGAGGACAGACAGGCGACATTAAATTACAGAGAAGTGTCACCGACATATATGGTATGTAAAGCCATCTGGAGAAGACTGATGGTACATCTTGAAAAGAATAACCAGCACAGTTTCAGGCATGGGAAATCCTGTCACAAACCTACTGGAGTTCTATGATAAGGTAACAGATGTAATACAGAAGAGATAAGGATGGGTAGAATGCATTTCCTTGGATTGTAAGAAGGCTATCGACATAGTTCTCCTCAAGAGATTGGTACAAAAGCTACAGGAGCAGGAGGAATTGCAGGAAAGCACTTGAATAGGTCAGTGAATACCTGACAGGAAGGAAACAACGAGTGATAGTACGTGGCTAGGTATCAAATTGGCTCCATGCGTAGAGTTGGGTTTCGCTAGGGTCAGTCGTAGGGCTGGTTATGTTTCAAGATCTACGTTTATGTCTTGGCGCCTTTCGTTCATCCCCTGCTGAAAGCCTCTATGCTGAGGCAAATGTTCCTTCCTTAGCCAATCGTCGTGATGCTCATTGCTTTCGTTACTTTGTCTGCTCTCATGACCTTCGTTATTTGACTGGTGCCCCTGCTTCCTCCGTTCGTTTTCTCTTCGTCTTCACTCTGGTCTTCTCTCCAGTTTCCTCCCTTGTATGTTCATGTATCGTCTGCCTTTTCCCTTCCCCCTTGAGAGGTTTCAACGCTTCGTGTCTGCTCTCCCCAACTGCCATGCGCTAAAGCCTTCAAAACTACGGCTACTTCTCGCTCTCTTCTTCTTGATCACTTCCGGTCTCATGCTCGTGCCGTCACTGTTTATACTTGGTTTTAAATCTTCTGACGGTGTTGGGTTCACAGCGGTGTTTCCTGACGATGTTATCCGGGGTCATTTATTATACTCAGCTAGTATTTTTACTGCTGAGTTGTATCCCATCCTCATAGCGCTTCTCTGTATTACATATATGTCTCCAACGGCGTTTGTGATCATTTCAAATTCCCACAGTGCTTTACAGGCCATTAAACAATTTGATTTCCCTCATCCAGAGGTCCTTCGTATTCAACTATGGTTGCTCTGTGTGGCTAGCAAAAACAAAGACGTTGTTTTCTGTTGGGTCCCTGGACACGTTGATATGCTGGGCAATGAACAGGCAAATGCTGCTGCTTCGGTTTTCTATAGAGGCATTCCGTTCAGGGATTATTTTACCGTTATCTCTGCCCATCTTCGCGGCCATTGGTCATAACGGTGGCCGGACATGCACCATAATTTATCACACTCTATTAAACCACTTTTGGGTTTGTGGCCATCTTCTTACCACCATTGTCGTACTCGGGAGACTGCGCTTTCCCATCTCCGCATCGGCCACACTCGCCTTACGCATGGGTATCTCATGGAACAAGACCCTGTTCTCTCTGAGGTTTGTCGGGTCCCTATTTCGGTTCTTCACTTTCTTGTGGACTATCCGGTTTACCATCGAGCTCGCAGGATTTGCTTCCACCGATGTCGCCGCACTACCACTCTTACCGTATCTTCCCTTCTTGCAGACTGCCCTCCTTTTGACTTACGATCACATTTTGACTTTTTGTTAGCAACTACTTTACTATACGAACTTTGACACATAGCCCCTAGCGTCCCTTCCAGCCCTTTTCTCCTCTCATCTCTGATCCCCTCTCTACCCAGCTGTTTATAGCCCCGGCACTATTTTCTGCCCCGCAGTACTGCATGACCTTTCTCGGTTTAGCGCTTTTTTTGATTATAATAATATACCTAGTTGGATGAATCTTATTATAGGCAGCTGGCCCAGTGGCTAACGCACTGGCGTGGAGTTTTACGAGTCGCTCTCAATGAGTTCAAACCCCACCCTTTCCTTGGTTAGTCTCACTGTTCATTGCTACAGATATCTTTCTTTAATAACACAATCCCATACGCAAATGATAATCTTAAATTCAACAAACACAATTAATGATAAAGATAGAATCACAGTCAATACTTGGGACAGTCTCACCCTCATCTCAGTTCCTCTAGTGCTAGGGATAGTCTCTCCTAGAACACTACTGATACTAGGGATAGTCTACTAGAACACCACTACTGCTAGGGATAGTCTCTCCTAGAACACCACTAATACTAGGGATAGTCTCTCCTAGAACGCCACTAATGCTAGGGATAGTTTCTACTAGAAAGCTACTAATACTAGGGATAGTCTCTTCTAGAACACCACTAATGCTAAGAATAGTCTCTCCTTCAACATTACCAATTCTACAAATAGTCTCAGCTTCATGGCAATACCATGAGTGACTCACGAAATCGTGATGACACGATTGCTAACGCGACGGGCTGGAGTTTTGAGACTCTCTGACCGCGGGTTCAATCCCGGCCGGGGTATGGTTTAATACCATGAGTGCTAGGATAAGGCCACCTTCATATAAATACCACGAGTGCTAAGATAGTCTCAGCTTCATCTCAGTAACAAGTGTGCTAGGAATAATCTCACCTTCATCTCAAAACCTTCAATGGCGAGAGAAAAGAAGTCAACAAACGTGGCATTCATTGCCTTCAGGATAGAATACAGTGGCAATGCTTTCATTTTTATACCAATGTTGTTGTAGTTTGTAATGTGTCCAGAAATTCCTTTATCTCCACTCGGTCTGTAAAAGACATACATTTCATTAGGTTAAATATTAATAGCTAAATATTAATGAGCTAAATACTCAGAAGACCCATATGGATGTTAAGAAATATTTCTTCTGCATATGGGAGATCAGGAAACGAAAGGAACTGGGTGAAAAGAGTTGATGGGAAGATTAATTGCATTTAGGAATAGGTTGATTAAGGGGTCAAGAAAACTTGAACCTACGTATGAGACAAGGAAAAGAGCAAGAAATTAATGTCAGTAGCTATAAATAGGTGACTGCACATGCATATGTATTAATTGTACATAACGTACATACGTATTCTCACTCCTTACAGTATAATTTGTTTTGAAAGAAGAAGAAGAAGAAGGTTAAAAAGAAGAAAAAGGAGAGAGAAAGAGTCTACATAAATTAAAAAAATCAGGTGTTTGGTGTTTCACTGAGACAAGATAAAACCTCTTACGTGAAAGTAATTTCAGTGGAATAGTTTTTGACGGCAAGTGCAGCGTTTATTGAGAAAGCTTTCCTTTCTTTAAACAAAAGTTGGTGGAAGGTCTTGGGGTTTGGTTCTATGAGGAGTCCCGTCCAGCCGCGGTTTCTCTCCAAGAACAGTGTGTTGCTGTGGAACTCTCCGTCCACAGCTCCTGCCTCGACGAAGAATCCATATTTCTGAAAAGCAGAAGTAACGTTTCTTTTTATCCAAAAGCATATTTCTCCTAAGACGAATCATTTCTATCTCTTTAACGAAATACCGAATTAACACAGCACTCTTTCTCTCTCTCTCTCTCTCTCTCTCTCTCTCTCTCTCTCTCTCTCTCTCTCTCTCTCTCTCTCTCTCTCTCTCTCTCTCTCTCTCTCTCTCTCTCTCTCTTCTCTCTCTCTCTCTCTTTCTCTCACTTTCTCTCTTTTTTTAAGCAGGTTTTGACAAGGTTAGGTTAAGGATCCTAAGCTTCATTACCAAGTTATTTACAGGTTAAGGATTCCTAACTTTATTAGCAAGCTAAGAGCTGTTACCTACATCAGCTCATTTGAAAGCATTTTTATTGTTATGAGACATACAAGTAGGGAACAGGATGAAGTTGGAGCCATCTGTGGGCCAGCATTTTCATTTGATCAACTGACTTTATCTCGTTGACACCATTATGCTGTACGAATGTGTTCCATACTCGAGTCATCCTGGGGAAAAATGATCTCAGATGAAGTGACGTTCTGGAGAAGGATACAGCCAGAGTGAAGTTGCTGCTTTCTGCCCGTCTTGTGGTATAGAAGCTTGCTTCACGCTTTCCTCGAAGTGGATCCAAGTGTGGTACTTTGACAATATTGGCCTTGTACATAACAGTAAGGCCACTCACATCCCTCCTGTGTTGAAGGCTGTGCTGAAATGACAGATCTATCCAGGATGAGTCCAGGCGAGAGATGAGACGTCTTGCTCTGTTCTCTACTCTGTCAAGCAGTCGCAGATGAGAGGGGAGGGGGCAGGCAAACCAAGAAAGTGGAACATACTCAAGGTGTGAGCAGACTTGTGCCTCGTACAGAATCTTGCAACCCCTACTGTCAAGCAGATGCGAGATACGGCGAAGTGCTATAAGCTTCCTGGCTGCCTTGTTTGCAAGATTTACAACGTGGTTCTTCATGGTCAGTTTGGAGTCAAATTTCACCCCAAGGATGATATTAAGACACATGTGCAACATCTGAGTATATTTACTGTAGACGTTTCGCCATCCAGTGGCTTTATCCATACAAATTCCAGGACATAATTTGAAGACAGTAGAACTATATACAGAAGATGAGGTAATCAGCCCCTCAGCCTTGGAGTTGGTGCGAAGAGCACCGTGGTCGTGGAAATTCTGAAGCAGAGGCAAGGAGCCTGGCGCTTATATACTAACATCAGGTGGAAAGGGGACGTGTAGCAGACGAGGGAATAGTCACTGGTAGGCGGGATTCCCCAGTGGAAGTAGGTCCTACCCAAAGAGATGGGTTAGTTGTAGTAGTAGCAGTTGTCGTAGTCGTGAAGGTTATGTACATGTCCTAAGAATCAAGATCCCATACTTGTACAACTTGTCAGACACTGCAACATCATGGAATCTTGATTCTGAGGACATTTATATAACCATCACGACTACGACAACTACTTCTACTACTAACCCATCTCTTTGGGTAGGACCTACTTCCACTGGGGAGTCCTGCCTACCAGTGACCATGCCTTCGTCTGCTACACGTTTCCTTTCCTCCTGACGTTAGTATATAAGCGCCAGGCTCCTTGCATCTGCTGCAGAATTTCCACGACCACGGTGCTCTTCGCACCAACTTCAAGGTTGAGGGACTGATTACCTCATCTTCTATATATAGTACTACTGTCTTCAAGTTATGTCCTGGAATTTGTATTGATAAAGCCATTGGATGGCGAAACGTCTACAATAAAGATACCCAGATGCTGCACATGTGTCTTAATTTCATCTTATCGGTATTGTATACCATTCTTGTACAACCAGACTAGCTTGTGCTACTAGGTCAGATGCCGTGCTCCTTCCTTAAGTGAATGTGACTGACCTGTCTAGGTTAAGGCACTGGCTTAAGCCGGTGAGAGAATTGGACTTGCCTCGCATGGGCCAATAGGCCTGCTGCAGTGTTCCTTCTTTCTTCTGTTCTTATAAAGATTGAGACACTTATGCAACATATGTGAATCTTTATTCAGGAAACGTTTCGCCCCACAGTGGCTTCATCAGTCCAGTACTGCACCTACTACATTCATAGAACACTTAACTCTGACATAAACCCTCCCCTCAAACATCTCCTTACCAACCTCAAAAGAACACATGACCATAACACAAGACACAGATCACTCTTTGATGTTCCTCGTGTCCATCTCACGCTATGCAAAAACTCAATGCACATAAAAGACCCTAAAATCTGGAATTCATTACCTGTGAATATAAAAGAAACACTGTTTATAAATTCAAGTCTCTTCTCAAAAATCACTTACTCACCTACAAGTAAATAAATACTGAATAATTGTATCTCATAAATTGCATCTCGTAAATGTTTCTCATTATTGTATCTCATAAATGTCTAACCTGTGACCCAATCAAACTTTATTTTTTAATTACATTACCTAACAGAATACTCCATTCTACTGAATGCTCAGCAACACAGTAAATGACCATATGACCTGTCTTTGTAATACTCATTTGTGCTAAATTGTTATCTGTTTACAATAATGTTTTTACCACTGAATATATCATTGCTTAGTTAATCTTAAGTTAATTTTAAGCCTGCCCATAATGCTTTGCATACAAGGGGCTTTGGCATGTTGCACTGTAATAAATGTATTCCTTTGTACTTCACTGTATCATGTTCAAATAAATGAATAAATAAATAAATAAATAAATAAATAAATAAATAAAAGGAGAGGAGGAGTTTGAGGTAATAAATCACTCAGCCTGGAGTCGATGTATTCAGTCCAGTATATTCAGTACAGTATATGGCCGTAGACGTGGGTTATATACTGTAGTCAGGTGAGGCGAAGCAGGAGGAGGCGGGGTCATAATGGAACCATCCACTAATCTAAGTAAGTTTTCGTCCAAAGATTAGACAAGTATTGAAGAATTTCTTGTATCAAGATCCCATGATGATGCAGTGTCTGACAGATATGATGAACGGTTTTGAAAACCGACAAGTTTAAGATTGAGATACTTATGCAACATATGGGAATCTTTATTAAGGAAACGTTTCGCCACACAGTGACTTCATCAGTGTAAAAGTGCACTGTGATTGTCAAAATGGCGGTTAGTCTGAGACGCCGGATAAATACTGTAGGCATTGAGCTACTTAAAGGAACGATAACGCCCAGTTCTGCGCAAGTCTTATTGCCAAAGATCATCCGGGAGACATATGGCGTGCAAGACAGTGAATTGTATGGTGCAGCATTGAATGGAGGACAACGAATTTTCGTCAAACTGCTATCAGCAACGGTTTATGAATCGTTAGTCACCAGGTTTCAGGACGTGAGTCTTAACGTCACACCAGCTGTCAGTGTAAGAATGGTAGATGTTTCACGGCATTATACGTGATCAAGTTACGCAAACGTTCCCTTTGAGGCGGACGAGGCGGATATAAGGAAGTTTTTGAGACGTATGGGAAGGTGCATTATGCTCAACATGGTACGTGGGAGGCAGGTGCCTATGCTGGTTTTCCAGAGGGTTCTTTCAACCTCAAAATGACTTTGAGGCACCCAATACCGTCCTACGTTTATCTACAAGTTTCAGGACGAAGGTCATGGTCATGTAAACAGGCCACGACGTACTGCTCCTATATGGTGAGTATGATCAATAGCGGCGACCTGTTGACAAGCGTAAAGACGTGTGCCCTGGACTGTTGGTGGACGTCGCTGCCCCTGCTTCTAAGGGGGGGGTGGAAGGTGTGAATCAAAATCGGATGGAAGGGCGTGGTGTTTTTGTGAGCGAGATAGTGGATAGGGCACACAGGACTGGCGGTGAGTTGGAGTACCTCCCCGGTGCCTGATCATGGTATCGTCTCCTGTGCTGAGGAGGGCAGCAATTACCGGGAGAAGGTTCTTGAGATTGAGGAGGAATTGGTGGAGGTGTTTTGAAGACTTTGTCTCCACCAGGGGGACGTTACATCTGAGCGTGGTGTCATCGGAATGAGTCGTCGCTTCCAGAATGTCTGAGACATGATTAGTTTTTGGGACGTGATGGTGGTTTGGAGTGTCCGTTGAAATCATTATTTAAACATTCTCAGGTAGAGGTGGAGGTTCATCGAGAAGGCAACTTCTGATCAAGATATGTGTTACATGACGGTCATCGAGAAAGAGGGCGGCTACGTCAGTTCTGATGGTCGTCCTTACGCCTGCACAAAGGCCTGGGAAATACAGACTGAGGTGAGTGTTGATGGTAGTGGTGTAGGTTGTGATAGCCATGATAGGAGCTCCGGAAGAAGGGGGGAGGTAAGAGTGCACTATGTAGGTGTCAAAACTTAAATTCAAGCTCTGGAGTTGTAACGGTGATGAGAGGAAGCAGAGGGTGGAGAAACTTTATAGGACTTAGGTATATGTCTGTATTATGTTAATGGTTATGTAGCGGGATGAAGTGAATTGGTTTTTAATTTCCTGAATAAATCTTTACAGGGATGTTGTGTTCCTGGCAGGAGCACAATTTTAAAGAGGGTTAGGGTGTTGGAGGTGGCAGGGATTTCGAGTAGTTACCCTGCCAATCCCGTCTTAAGGTGGTGTGGAATTTTTATAAGGGGACGAGCCCATTTGTTTTGAAGAGAAGCGAGAGGGAGGGGGTGCGGAGGGTGTTGCGTGTGGATGGGTGGTGGATGGGGTAAGGTGTTTGTGTTCTTTTATGTGTGTGTATGCGGCCGGCTGAAAATAACATAAAGTTTAAGGAAGATTTTTGGTGTGAGGATCCTTGTGTTTTTCTTAAGTGATGCTAGAGGTGGCATTGGTTGTTGGGGACTGGTAAAGGGGAATAGGTAATCAGGGGGGCTGATGTGGACCAAAAGGGGTGGATTATGTCTGCGGCTCTTAGGAGGATTTATTAAGCGGATGTTAGGTTACGTGGTTGCCTTCGGGGGGGCGGTGTGGGAGGTCTGAATATACTTAGTTAGGAGTGGATATGCTGCGAGGACTAGATTGCGTGTACTTTCTC